TCTATAGCGCTCATTCATATTCTATTTAATCTTTTAAAATATTTCTTCCCAGAGATTATTACAATCATCCCTTGCAAATTGCTAGATATATAATATTAGAATACTAATTACAACCTAATCCTTCTGCTGAAAAAGAATTAATTTATCTCATTTCATAAAGAGGAACCGATCTGCATTCCAGGCCCCACACTTCAGCTCTGAGATATATTTTATTAATTTATTAGAAGAGTGGTTTTTTTTAATACTTCTGTGCTGCTCATGTAATTCAAGTTGATTCGGCATCAAGTATTCTTTCTCAGTCAAACAATTTTACAAGTTTGTTATGTAAATAAAGTGAAGAGAAATCCCCATTTAAAACACCTTGAACTACTGCAGAAAAGATGGAATAAATAACTAGAAAGTGAATGTGTACGTTGTTTATAAGTACCATTGATACATTAGATGGCATTTAGGTAATGCAGAAGAAGCTAAAAGAGCCATCAGCAAAATGACTCCTGAAACTTTCTGCAACTCCAAACTCATTTTGATACAGTATTACCACTGAATATTGGTGTACTCAAATAGTTAGATATCCTAAAATATACCCTGGTAAATACATGACCTTTCACAAAAATTGTAATGATTTTCTTCTAACCCATATTTACCCACAACGATCTGCTCTCTCATGAAGTTTAAGGACATAATTATATCGGTTCCAAACTTCATATGTACTACTCTCTCCTATTTGCTCAACATTAGACTAGAAATACAGCAAAGCTTATTAATTTAAAGAACATGATTAATATATTCATATCCCAAAGCATACCTATGTGCTAGAATGTGAAAAGAGTCATATGTCCAAAATACTGTTTTACTTCACTGTTTTTTTGCAACTATAGCCAGTGATTTTTTACATTTGTTACACAAATATGGATCTGTTCAGCCTCCTATGTCTTGTTAAATTTGTTTTTAAATTTAGAGTTGTCTCCATTACATCTCTCCCACAAAAGCATGATGCTGCCTTAACAAATATGGAAGTAAGCCTACAGTATAATTGGTTAATAGACTAATCCAAATTTAAAATGTGGGTTTGAGTCCATTAAAGCCATATTTAGGATTTATATTTATAAAACATGTTGAAAACATTTGCTGTAAATATACTTTCTTCTTCATTATTTGACATTATTTGAAGGGAAGCCAGTTGAATTTTAGTGATTAGAACAGAGACAATACAGGCAGGTGAGTAATAATTAACAGGAAATACTTAAAGTGGCACAATCCAAAAATCACTGTAATTATTGGAGAATGTGTTAGCAGTTATATTGCCTGTCTTAAAAAACATCACATTATAAGCCCTGATCTGTAGTCTGTTCTGGAAAGAAACTAACATAGGAGCAACTTGATATAATTAACCCCATAAGAGGGTGGTCACATTCTTCTGGTATAAAATACATTTAGTAATATTACAGTACTTTCTATAGCTTTTGGATAAAGAATGCAGGGAATAAATAGGAAGGCACAACAAGGGCTCTTGTGTAGACACTGTTTTCTGCTGCAGAGAAGCTGAAATTAATATCTCAACAGATGACTGAAAAAAGTTTCCCATCCCCCAGTTCTGCTCCTGGGATTAAAACTCAACTACGGGATTAAGCTCATGCATTTAAACACAGATATGACAATATAAAACCAGAATTCAGAACATTATGAGAGAAGTATCCAGACTGCATTTGTAGTAGGCATGCATGCATGGCCTAGGACCAAAAATAGTTTGATTGATCAGATTAACGTCCCATCCATCTCACTGTATAAGTGATTCTGACTGGCTTACAAGTTAAAAGAAGACCATTAAAATCCTTATAGAGATATAAAAGTTTTAAGAATTTGCTCAAATTTTTAATCCAAAATGGTTATTTTTTTACATAGGCATATATTCCTGGGCATTTAGACTATATTTTTGTCTATTGTCATTTGTGATATGTAGAAACATAACATAATAGGTTTACAGTAGTTCATTTAATTGAAATTTTACATCGTTTGCACAATACAAGGCTTATGTGGAGGTATCTTCTGAGCCACTATAACTTTATCAGCTTTTCTATTATAAAAAAACTTATTGTCTGTAGTGAACTCAGTTAACAATTAGCTACTAAGAAACTTGCTTTATTTCTTTATGCTGTTCCTCAATATGAGATCCAAAGGACTACTTAAGTTTTCAGAAAATTTTATGGAATGTTATATTAATTTGGCATGGGGCTTCTCTGAGTCTTTTGATCTCTCTCCTGTCTCTCTTAGTGAATTAAAAGTTTCAGAGACTTTTGAGGAAAATCAGAGTCCTTGTTCAAGCCTATATATTTGTAAAGAGAAAAGTACAGTTGTAGGCAAAAATGTGGATACTCCTGATCAAATGGTACATTTCAATTACTTCCTGAGCCAGTTGTTATTCAGTGGGGTTCAAACACCCTACTGAGAATTGAATACACATGCCTTTGCATTTGTTTGACATTATTTCTATTTAAAGATGATAAAAAGTATTGACAGAAAGGTCTGAATTTCTGCATGCCATATTCATAGTTTTCTTACTTTGAATCTGTAGACAATAGCATATAAACAGTGAATTTACAGAAAGTTGATGTAAACTTTGTACTGTGGTTGTGTCAGCTTGTATTCACCTCGAGACTGATTGAAATATATAGGATCCTAAGATTTTGCATAAAACTGCATATTTATACCCAAAGGTGCTTTTCAAAAGGCACTGAAAAGACACTGAAGAAGCTTGAAGAAGCTTCTTGGATGAGAAGTGAAACGTCTTCAAGGAAAAACAAAGAAAACCCAGTTGCCTTTTGAAAAGCGCCTTTGGGACAACCATGATTTGGATTGCTGAGAATATCCATAGACATGCATATTTACACCTTTCTCAGTTATCAGTGAAGGCAAAGGGAATTTAACAAAAAATAATAAAGTGACTTGTTAGCTGCTGCTCCACAGCATACTTGTTGCTAGAAGAGTTAAGAGGCTCGCTGGTGAAGTTTGGAGCATATAAGGCAGTGGTTCTCAACCTTTTTAATACCGCGACCCCCAACCGGTCGTAAGTCGAGGACTAGACCGGTCGTAAGTTGAGGACTAAACCGGTCATAAGTCGAGGACTACCCAACCGGTCGTAAGTCAGGGACTTTCCCTGCCCGGGAACGCCACGCATGCGTGGTTCCACCCCCTGCGCCGGCCGAGGCGTAGCTGGCAAGCGGCAGAGATGGAGCAGGCCGACCACCAGCTGGCCCAGCTCAAGGAAGGTAAGGCACCCACCGGAAAAGGGGGAAAAAAATGGCGGACAGCCTTGCTTGGCGACGCCCGTGAAATGGTCGATCAACCCCAAATGGGGTCGCGACCCATAGGTTGAGAACCGCTGATATAAGGGCTACTATATTAAAAGAATAGGTCAGAGAGATCTATGTACTTTGCCAATACTTTTCAGTAACTTCTAGGATAAGCATGCTTGGAAATCTCTAGAAGACTGGCAAGCTGTTTACAGTATTTGATAACTTATTTAAATTATAAAGACAGTTGAGTTTAATAGAATGAAAAATGAAGCCTAAATGTAAAGCCATGATAAGTATGGCTAGGGAAACTGTTCATGTGCTATGTCTTTCTTCCTTCTCTTTGTCTAAAATGGATGGAAAAATATTGCAGCCCAGTGCAGAAAATGATTTATTCCCTTGCTGATAACTGAGATCATCCAGCATTCCAGACAGGCAGAGCTAATGGATGACTTAACCCCTACCCATCAGCTGATTACAGGTCCTCAGGAGACAGCATAGTTTCTGCACAAGGTTGTAGAAAATGTGGAATTGTTTCTGTCTCTTTGTAGTGACAGTACAATTATGTTCAACAGTGAATGTTAAGGAATGAATTGAAGAATCACAATTAACCTCTACAAATCTTTTTTCTTGGATGACTAGAATGGCAAATAACTGAGAAATAATTAGAAATTCTGGAACATATTAACATTTATCTGAAATGTACAAATGATCGGATTGGCTATGTGTTCTAATTTGAGATAATATTGCATAAAAATGGACAGCGGGCTTATGTAGTTAAATATAAAGCATTTGTAGTGCTAGTTTCTTTACAGTTTTAAAATGCAATCATTTCTAAATCTAAATCTCTTTAGACTTAGACTTAGGTCTATGTTAACCAACTTCTAGCAATTTTGTTTTGTTTTCAGAAAACTATTTGTATATGTGTTCTATGTTTATATGAAGGAGCACTATAAGTAAATTATTATTAAACTTATTATTGAAAGCCAGTTTCAATAATGGTTAAAGTCAAATGGTTAAAGCATACGACTAGAAAGCATGAGACTGTGAGTTCAAGTCTTAGCCATGAAAGCCAGCTGGATGACTTTGGGCCAGTCACTCTCTCTCAGCCCAATCCACCTTACAGGATTGTTGTTGTGGGGAAAAGAGGAAGAGGAAGGTATGATGGATACGTTCACTGCCTCAAGTTATTTGTAAAAATAAAGACAGGATACAAATAAAATAATAAATTACAATTATAAAATGTGAAAACCAAGTATTTCTGACTTTAGATCAGTGGTGTCAAACTGGCAGCCTGTGGGGCAGATGCGTCACGCACAGGCCATGCCCACCCCGGCTCCACAAAGGTAAAAAAACGTTGCAATACGTCACGTGACGCGATTGAGTGTGACACCCGTGCTTTAGATAATATTGGAGTATAAGTCATACTGATTATAGCATGTAGTTAAAGATGATGAAGTGATAAGCTGCTTGGCTTTTCTTTTGCAAATAGTCTATCAAGCCCACTTTTGTGTAAATCTTAAAACAAGATAGGTCTTATTCATCAATTAAGTTATTCATTGACTCTTAGCACTGTTTTACTGAAAAAAACAATTTATCAATATCTACAGTACACTGAGACATGTTTTTATTTATTTCTCTTATTCTTATGCACACAAGAGGACTATTTAGATATATCACTGCTAAATGTGTTTTCCCTTTTTTCCTAAGTACTACTAGTTCAACAGCAAGCAGCTGTGATACAGAGTTCACAAAGGAGGATGAGCAGAGATTGAAGGACTACATTCAACAACTAAAAAATGATAGAGCAGCTATTAAATTAACTATGCTGGAGCTGGAGAGCATCCATATTGACCCCCTCAGTTATGATGTCAAGCCTCGTGGAGACAGTCAAAGACTGGATCTAGAAAACGCTGTACTTATGCAGGAACTCATGGCAATGAAGGTATTTTATTTAATGATGTATCAGGCAAGGCAATCTTGATATCTTGATTTAAAAGTATAGCTCAGTGGTTCTCAACCTGTGGGTCGGAACCCCATTTGGGGTCGATCGACCATTTCACGGGGGTCGCCAAGCAAGGCTGTCTGCCATTTTTTTTGTCTGCCATTTTTTTTGTCCGCCATTTTTTTCCCCTTTTCCGGCGGGTGCCTTACCTCCCTTGGGCTGGGCCAGCTGGTAGTTGGCCTGCTCCGTCTCTGCCGCTTGCCAGCTACGCCTTGGCCGGCGCAGGGGGCAGAACCACGCATACGCAGTGCTCCCGGGCAGGGAAGGTCCTCGACTTATGACTGGCTGGGTAGTCCTTGACTTACGACCGGTTTAGTCCTCGACTTACGACCGGTTTAGTCCTCAACTTACGACCGGTTTAGTCCTCGACTTACGACCGGTTGGGGTCGCGGCATTAAAAAGGTTGAGAACCACTGGTATAGCTGCAATAATTGTATGCAAAATCATTTTATTTTTAAACAACAATTTAACCCAGAACAGTAGTGAACTATAGAACACAAAATAGACATATGTTTTGTACCTACGATTAAGAAGACCACATCTTATTAGATACAGAATAAATACTGCACGCTAGTTATGTGGAATTCTGTTGATCTGACATACTACTTTGATATTGTGCTGTCTCCCCCACCAGGAAGAAATGGCAGAACTGAAAGCACAGCTGTACTTGCTAGAAAAAGAGAAGAAAGCTCTCGAGTTGAAGTTGAGCAGTCGAGAAGCCCAGGAACAAGCATATTTGGTCCACATTGAGCACCTAAAGTCAGAAGTAGAAGAGCAAAAAGAACAGAGAATGAGGTCTCTCAGTTCAACTGGTAGCAGCAGCAAAGACAAGTCAAGTAAGGTGAGTTACTGTCATATAGGTAGTCCTCAACTTACAACCATTTCTTAAGTGACTGTTCGAAGTTACAACGGCACTGAAAAAAGGGATTTATGACTAGTTTTTACACTTACGAACATTGCATTTCATGGTCACATGATCAAAATTTGGGCACTTAGCAACTGGCATGTACTTATGACAGTTGCACTGTCCTGGGGTCATGTGATCACCATTTCTAACCTTCCCAACTGGCTTCCAACAAGCAAAGTCAATGGGAAATCCAGATTTGCTTTACAATTGTATGATTCATTTAACAACTAAAGTGATTAACAACTGTAGTATAAAAAAAGGTCATAAAATGGGGCACAACTCACTTAAAAATTATCTTAGTTAGCAATGGAAATTTTGGGTTCAATTGTGGTTATAAATTGAGGACTACCTGTATATATTTGGCTAGTAAGAGATTAGGCTTATTCAAAGTTGTTGCAAAGCAATTATCAAATGCTTGAAGTGGGGAGAATTTTTGCCCTTGAAGACTGTAAGTAATGTTGTGTCAATCCTTTTGCTGCAATGGTTGCTGATTCATTATGGAACAATTTAAAGTTGTATCTTTGTTCTTTTAGTGTGGGGAACTACCTATATCCATATGCAGCCCTATATGTTTTTAAGATCAACATTGCAAGTTTTCTTACTTGCACTTCCAAGATGCATAAAACTGAGTACTAACAATAGGAGCTTTTTTTTTGCTAGTCCCTATTCTGTTATATTCCTTTCCTACTGTATAAATACCTAGAGGATTATGTGCATACTATATTTAAGAGGATTTAAATCAATTTGTGTTGTCTTTTAAGTTTTAATGGCATTTGTGGATAGCTATTTTGAAAGCCGTTTATATCTTATTATTTTATTACATATTTTTATTATGTGTTACGCTGTTTTTATTTGGAAAGACTCCTTGAAAGAGGTTAAAATGGAGCCAAGTGACTGATAGTCAGATGATAAAGCTATGTTTTTATGATTACTATAAACTTTAAAATGTGCCTGGATTTATGTAAGGTAATCCTACCTTGTCTGGGTTTAATTTGCAGGAGTGCACAGATGGCACATCGGCATCATTAACACTAACTGAGCTCAAATCTTACAATGAAAGTGAGCTGACTGCAGAATTGGCAAATGCCCTCAGACGGTAAGTGAGATGTGTTCTCCCTCCCTTTCCCTAACAGAAAGGTGCTAATAAATCTATGAGTTTATAGCGGCCTTTAAATTAGTCAGATGTTCTTACTGTTCTGCAATTATGTGGTTTTGAAGTATCCATTTTCTCATTTCATATTCTGAAATGCTCATCTGCATGTCCCTCAGGTTTTCACAATATCTATAAACCAGCAGATTAATTATTGCTGTTAATTCTCACAACGTACGTGAAAACTCTAGAGGACAGAGTAGGTGACTATGCTAATCAAAAAATCACTAGGGAGACGTGGCAAATTTAGAAATAGCATTCCAGAATTATCTCTGTTAGTTTAGATTCCCTGTAAGAATAAGCTGCCAAGTTTTATATTAACAGTAATTCTAGAAATAACTAAATGAAAAAAGAGAATATCAGCAGTACTTCCTATCCCACAAATCTTGTCAGTTCTTCTAAATTGCCTTCTAATTCTTGCCAGAGTGAAACAATTTAATTATCTTACTATGCTATGCATTATAGTAGGCAATCCAGTCAACCATTTTATTACTCTTAAGAGCATAAAGGAACTACTTGCCAGCAGTTTGATGCTTTTAACTGTCATACTGATAACTTTGTCTGTTGTAGCTAGAAGGGTAAGAAAATAGTTGCTGATATGCTCATACTAATATTTGTATGCCATGACCTGAGAAGTTAATGGTATAACACAATATATCTATGTAACTCCTGTATTATGACAGCTGCATTATTACAGGTAGTCTTTGTTTAGCAACTATCTTATTCAGTGATTATCTCCTCACAGGAACATCTGCCTGTCAGTTAAGTTTAGGTAGGGAAGGACTGATTCAGATCCTGTCTGTGTATGCAATCTGGAGGGAGGAGCTTAGAATGGAACAATGGAAGCATTTCAAGTTGCTACCCAGGTGCCTCTCTCCTAGAGATATTTTGGGGATTTTTTTTCTCTGTAGGTTTCATATTTTAATTCAGTTTTTCTTTCGCTGGCTTCTGCTGTCACATCAAATTTGTTCCTATTCTGTTGACGAATGGTCTGAGCCCCTTCTTTACTTCCTGTATAACATTGGTTTGGGTTAAAAATAATACAAGAAAGTGGCAGGATTAGAAGAGATATCAGCTGGAATCAAAATAGGCTGAGATATTAAGAACTTAAATATGTAGATAACACTACTATTAGCCTTATGGAAATAAAAATAGAAAATAAAATTCTTGGATTAATAAGAAGACAAAGATAATGACTCCCTAGTACCATGGTCTGCAAGAAGAACCAACCATTTAGGAACCCCTAATATGGGCGGATGATTATTTTTTTAAAAAACAAACCTACTATGATTGACAAGGTTGTAGAAAGTAGGAGAAGAAGCCAACAGTTAAGATGGATGGAGAAGGTCAAAGAAACTACTGGAATATCCCTGGAAGAGCTGAGTCAGGTCTAATTCAGTGGCACTTTGAACTGTCTCCAGTCTATTGTAGTGTCTTTGGTATTTGCAATGAAGGGCCATATAGCTTGTTCAAGAATTAGGGAAGACTGTTAGAAATCTAACTCTTTTTGTGACCAAGACTTGTTTTCCTTGCAAGCAAAGGAAGCATTATAGTTATAGCAATATACGTATCCTAATGTGGATATCCATTTTGTTGGAAGATGTTGTATGGATGATCTGTTTCCTTTTTCTGATGTTCCGGGTTGCTGCAGTGTGTTTGTGCTTATCTAAATAGTATTCTTATGCAGCTTTTCTCATGGAAGGTATTTTGACGTTAAATTATAAGATTCTATACCGCCAAACCATCTATCAACAAATCACAACATCCGCAAATTTGAGAATAGGTGGTCTGAACAATAATTTTTTTTTTTTTTTATTATTATTATTTTTTTTTTACAATCATAAGCATAAACACAAAAGCAAGTAAAATCCCCCACCACCCCCCGGACTTCCCAAACCTAATCCCAGGATAATATTCATATATAAGTAAACAAATACTAATATCTCTAACTCCACAAAATATCTTAATCTACATAAAGAGATGGAAAGAGTAAACAAAATAAAAGAAATCTAAAAACCTAAGTTGTATTCTACCACTCTATGCTTCTTTTGAATATAAACAATCCATCTTCTCC